GCAGGAACTGCACAGGACTTTGCACGAGAGATTGGACTTGCGCAGAGGCGCGTGCGGAGGCAATGTGCGCATTCCCGTGAGGGACTTACGCTGAGCTCGCAGCAGGCCACCGCAATGGCCACATTGCAGAGTGGGATTGATGAATGTACTGCTAGTAGGTCCACGTATTCACGTGAAGGCGAGGGCCCGAAGTCCAATGTAACTTACGTAATCGTGATTTGAACGACGATGTCGCGGTACAAAGGCACGCTGTCCCCGCCCCAGCGCTGCCCTTACCCTAGAAGAGGCTGCTGCAGAATAGCAACAACAACAACCAGCTCTCGAAGTTTCTTTTAAATTCTCAGCTCACTACGTTTGTCACAGGACCAGGCAAACAATGTGCACGAACTTACACATTTTCGAAAGTATGCGGACATGCGAAATGGCGAAATATTCAGAATACGAAGTGTGCTGACGGTTATAATGAGAAACAGCGCGGAATCAGGAAATTTGGCAAATTTCTCTTTCACTCAGAGCCCTAGGTTCTTCACCAGTGCTGCCACTCGTGTAAATGAACTGTAAGTTACGCTAACTTCCAGAACTGGCCAGCCGGTACGGCAGAAGGCGCTACATCGATGGGTGCCCTGGCTCCAGCATGTCACACAGGAAACTGGGGTAGAGATGGGGTGGAGATGGATGGGAACCACACATGCTCATCGTGTTCATTTCGTTAGTGTCCTTAGTCCTCACTGGACTTACACTCACCTGACCATCGCAGTCGAGAAGGTCACACCACTAAGTTACAGACGCATCAGAGAGGGCTGATGCCGTCGCCCTGCCATAGCTAGGCTTGGTTTTTACGTTTACGTTTACGTTATTACTTTTACATTTTTGCACATAAAAACGTAAATTTGCAAAGGGCCTATTTTATCGCTATTTTTGCGTGCTTGCGGCTTTTTGGGACACCCAGGTTGCACAGTGAAAGTTGCCAGCAATGATCAGTCCTCCACCAACTCCACACCCGCAGCACAATGCCCACCTCGCCCTTGGCAAGGGCGATAACGACGATTAACATAAACTCGTTTTTCCCCCCTTCCAAGTCATCTGGCTGCCACTCTCCAGATTCTGTAAGCCTGTACGTACTGCCCTTATGCACATCGGGCAGTTTCTACGTTGTGTTTACGTCCCTTTATGTATTTGTACGTGTAAAAACGCAAAAACTGGTTTTATGCGTAAAAACGTAAAAAATATTTTTATGCGTAAAAACAATTTTTGTGCGTAAAAACCAAGCCTGGCCGTAACGAATAGGACTATGTGTATAATATAGGATTTGCAGCTGTGCAAGACAGCAGCAGATGCACAATTAGCAACGGATCCCAGCACGAATTCGGGTCTGCGCTGAAGACGGAGATGCTCACTCCCTACTCCAAACACCTGCTCACGCTATGATGCGTGTGTGCACCAAGGCTCGCCTTTGCCTTCCAAGTGCATGGGCTTTTGTACCAGTTTTTCTCCGCGATATGAAGGTCTCTGTCCGACACGTCCTATAGGAAGGTAGCTACCTTCCCTCAGGGTCTTCCTGCCTTGGAATCGCGAGGAGAACCTACCCGTGAAGGCTCGTGATCCTTGCTGCTTGGTTTCTGCAACGCACTGCAGGGGTGATTCCGCGGCCCACCACCACAAGTGTCCGACACAGTTCCCTTCCTTCCGGGTCTGGATGTATTGCAACTCCACATCTAAGCAATGGTGAAGTTTAGAACGTTCACAGTTGTCCTTTTTCAACATAACATCAGCGGGATGCTTTTACGAGTTCGCTGAAGTCCAACCTACAGATTTGGGCTTCCACGATGTTTGGTTCCGTCAGCCCCTCCGGTTCACAAGCTAGCAGCAGCGGAAAGCACACTTCGGGCCGATGGCAGCAGGATGCCCAGGAAACCGCTCACTGCGGTATCTGTTGGAACGGTATTTTCCTGTAGTGTTGGACTATTGTCCTTGGTGTTGGAAGGTTTGGCCTCGCGTCCACCTTTCTCCTGCGCAGCGTTTCAGGCGAGCATGAATATGCCTCTGGCCACTGTGCTGCTCCGCCCGCTGTGCTGTTGATTCCTTGAAGACTGAGGGCTCTCGAAGTCAGCGCCGCCCATGGTCGTAATCTTCTGGGCCGGCAGTGCGCGGACTATCCTTCAATTGATGCGAATGAGCAAATGGGCGCTAGGCAAACACTCTTCGGCAAGCCACAGCCTTGTGGCTCGTAGTCTGCCCGCCTGTCGTGTGCCCACCGCGCTGGGACATTGCCGTAGTTAGACCTAGGCCTGGCTATGGCGATGGCACAGGGAAATGGGCACACGACATGCCGTGCTGTACAGGCTCTCCCCTTTCCAGCGGGGCAAGCCAAGCTTGGGAGTCGCTGGATATGTGGACCGCTTGGAGGAGACAGCAACTACATTCTGCTTTATTGCTATTCGCAGGGTTAATATTCTATGAATGTCGCTGAAGTTCCGCTGTCGGCTTGAGCAGGAACCCTATTGCACCCGGGGATAATTGTCGGGCCAAATTAGCTCTCCTGAACCTTACTGCAAGTTCAACAATTAAAAACATCAAAACATCACCGTTTCGAGGAAAACTCCCACAGTGCAGTACAGTCGTCGGTCTTCGTTCGTGATCACGATAATCGCGATGGCAGACACTCATCATTGGAGGTCGAACGCGAAACGACACTCGTGTGATTGGCGGGCGTCATGTTGCACGGACGAGCCGGTACACGCAAATGGGCCCACAACAAATATGGAACTCTTGTCACGCCAGCCGGTGGGCCACAGCAGCAGCGGCTGCGCACAGGACAAACTCCAACTTCCGTGCGGCGCCAGAGCCCATCGTCCAGCGGTAAGGAGTTGGTTCGTCTGTTTGAGCGGAATCGACACGCGCGAGGCTGCCGCCAACCACTGCGCCTGGCCGACTTGATCGCTGCCGGTTTCACCCCGGGCCCCAATGCCCAATGACGCAACCATGTTTTAGTCCCCAGGCCGTGCTTCTTGCATCCTGGTCACCATCCGCTCTGCCGATCAACGCAAAGCTGTGGCGGGCCGCAGCCTTCCCCCTCGCAACATTCTGAACCAACAATCGCTGGTTCCTGATCGAACCCAGTGTGTTCGGCGCCCGGCCCGAAATGATGCGCGCAAAGTGACGAGGGTCCAGGCATGCGCGGTGTCAGGACGTGGGGCAAGCGTTGTGCACGATTGGCGTTCAGCGAAAACGTGACTATGTGTTTACATATACGCCCCTGGAACTGTCAAGTTGGAAGGTCGTTGGAGGTCCCAACAGCACAGTTTGCTGTTTTGAGGTCCCCGTTGTAGGACCGGATTGCCGCTGAAAGGCCGAGAATCGCGGCGCCGGGAAGTCCCTTCATATCGGATGGAGAAGTATTCGTCATAAAGGAGGGCGCAGTGGGCAGTGGGAGTAGGACAAGCGTGCGCGACACTTCGCAAACGCAGAGGGAATTCCTGCTGAGGGCATCACCACGGCGTCTGTGCGCTTGCCAAGGTACCTGGAAATGGGAGCGAGCCGCGAAATGGGGCGATCGGGCCTGCAGTATCGACCTCTCGTCTATGGGCCTTGGGCAAGGGGACCGACATGCCCAAGGCTATCCCCCCTGTCAGATGCGCGCACCTCAGCTCTCAGGGCTTGGCCTTCTCCAGGGAAAGAGCTCTTTGGGGGCCGCGCCCCTCGTGTTGCCTGCGTTGTGTCGTATTCGTTGAGCGGCCGTTGGCGCTTGCAAAGCTTGCGCGGGGACTTTGAATTGGTGAGGAACAGGGGGTGGGCCGCGGCGTCAAATAGCATGCTGGTGAGATGATGCCAGGAGTGCTGACGAAGATCCTTGATCTCCGATCGGTTTCAGTTTAGATTATGGCAAGTTGAGGTCCGCGGGCGACCAGGGGTACGGCCTGGGATAAGATCCTCATCGCGAAACAGCAACGTAAGCGCTATCAGCGGCGGAAGGGCGCGGGGGAGAGGGGGAAGAGAGGTGGGCGCGTGTGGCTGCAGAAGGGCGGGATCGACCAAGCGGCGGTCCGTGGCTGCGCAGGCTGCAAGTCTCTTGCCGGACCCGGTATCACTGCCATCCTCGCGGCAGATCAGCTCATTTGGGACCGGATCTGGCCCCTTTCATCCGTTGCGAAATGGCATGCGCTGCGCCCCGCGGACAAGGGGGAACGCGTTACGCTTTGGGGGGCAGCGATGTCCTCCTCTCCGCACTGCCAGACCTTAGTCGCCGGCTGGTCAAGCTGTGCATGCTTGGATTTATGGAGCATTTCGATCGATCTGTATTTACCCCAGGGCGTCATCGCCCATGCCTGGCGCCGGCTGCCGACGGTTAGCTCCTCGATCGGCGATCGGTGGCTCTTGGACATCCTACACAGTTGGGCTTTGCGGCGCTTTCGAAACCGTTGTACCATCGACACCTTGATGGGGATCTGGGAACCCTGATGGGCGTTTCAACAGTTGCCTTTGGCCGTTTTAGCCGCGGCATCTTACCACCGTTTTCGCAGGCCAGCTGTGGTCCGAGTGGGATAAATTGCGGCCACTGAGATGCCTTGGGGATCCCTGGACACAAAACAGAAAACAGCATGTTTGCAACGTCAATTGCAACACTATCTGACACAAATTGATGCCATCGCAGCCACTTTTATCCCATCGCAATCGCCGTGACGGCATCACTTTGTGTCAAAATAGCATCGCAGTTGGCATCGCAGACATGGCGTTTTCTACCAGTGGGATGGCACCAGGACTGAATCTCAGGCTGCTGCTGGCTTGTCTGGAATTGAATCATTGGGGTGCCAGTGCTGTCGACTGGCTCAAGGGAACATTCCACGAAATCGGCAGCGGGAATCAAGAGGAATTCCACAGAAATGGCAGCAGCAATGAAGGAGATCGAAAGCAGCAATTTGCAAGAATCGAAGCAGCTTGCGAAAGTGGGCTACCAAAATTTGTTGTGTTCTGAACTTGACCTTGTGCGCAATGACAGGGCTATGGTCGCTCGTCCAACAGCAAGATGCAGCATATGCTTTCTTTGGTTTTGCCTGCACATCCATGCCACGAAGGTGAGGCCACACGGACATTCTCACAGCAAGACATCTTAGAAAGCTTGCTTGCCACACTGGACAGCGTTGCACATTACCAAACTGAGATAGTCTGTTCACATGCATGAATCAAAAGCGCACCCGAGAAGCAGTGCATTGTCCCCCAGTTATTTGCTGCCAGTAAGGAATGGCCAAAGGTTCAGGCATGGAACAAGCAGTTATTAACAGCAGTGAGGATGTGCCACAGTTGCCTGATTGCATAGTCTATTCTTGTGCACATCACTTTGGTGCACAACTGAAATTGTGGCAGAGACAGTGGCAGCATTGGGGCTGGCTCCTTCCCCAAGGAAGGAAGAAAACTAGAAACAGAACATCAATTAGGTCTTGCCCATCATGTCTACCTATTAGGTCGACACTATGCCAGCGATGCAGATCGTCATGGTATGCACTGTATTTCTGCCAGCAGCATAAAGCTTCACATGCATCGTTCTTGACTTGCAGTGGATGCTCCACTCAATGGCAACATTCATCCATTGATTCAGTGCAACAAGCACCGTATTATTAGTGTCAGCTACAATCGCCACCGTGAATCACCAACAATCAACAAAATATTCAACATGCATTTGTCCAGCTGTGGAGTATACGTCCCTTCTGCATCTTTCCAATTCCGGCTGTGGAAGCATGCCTCTCATCTCACCGTCAAGGATTCCCCATTCCACACAATTTACATTAGCACCAGAATGTACTGGACAGCTCAAATGTGGGCAATAACAACATGCAGCAAATAAATTGAAGGCAGGATCGTGTGATTATGAAGGGTATGTCGGACATATTACACTTGGAGATCGTTGTGAATTTAATGGAATGCCCCATTCACTTCCTAATTTCCTGTAGCTAGGGGCGTAGTTTGATTGGAAGCACCCCAGGCGACCACTTGAGACGTCATACTTGAAATCACTGTGTTATGTACATACCTAGTGTGATGATATTTGAAAAATGAGACATTGTTGCAACAAGCGATGCTTTGGCGATGTACATATAACAGAATTTTGAAAGCTGCTGCAGCGCGATGTATTAGCTATGCCATATTCCAATTCCTATTCTTGTCATCCAAACAGGACAACTGGCAGCCTGCCTCTCGAGGGCGGTTCCCATCCATGGTGTCTGTCAAGGGTAGAGGCCGATCGCATGTCTGCTCCGGCGTGCTGATCGGAAGCCGCTTCATCATCACGACGGCCAATTGTGTGGATGTTGTTGGACCAAATCCCATCGTGGCGGTGGGCGCGCGGGACATCGACGATGACAGGTGGGACGACGGCGTCGAGGTGAGTTCTGTCAAGTTGGCAATGGCGCTCGTGTTTTCAACGTAAACATGCATTACATTGGCTATTGTGATTCACAGAACTAATGGAAATAAAAACAGAGTGCAAAACACTGGCCATGGCTAGCTTGGTAATAGCAATAGATTATTCTGGTGGTTCAATGCATTGTCTAGAAATTCGTTCCCCAGGATTCACACAACTGAAACAAGATGAGCACAAGAAAGACTAGCATGGTCCCAAGGACTGTTTTTAATGTGGCTATGTCCACACCTACGGAGAATCGGGTGCACAGGCCGGCAGCGGCGATGGGTGGGCCTCGAGCATTAAGGCAAGCTCTTCTGATGATAAGTTGAAGAACAACTCATCTGCAACATTGCAAATTTTGCTGCCGACACTGCTTTCCTTTGCTGCCACTGCTCTTGCAGATGTTCTTGATCCTGAAGTTTGCACATTCTATAGTTTAAGTGTATTAACGTGTATCAGACAATAGAATTTGCAATATGGCAGTTTTGGAAGGGCGATCAGTTGTGAGCTTTTTGGGTGCTGGGGACAAGTGCCATTGTGGCAGTGGGCACCTGGGGCAACAGTGACGGCGAGTAGGTCTGTGGCGCTGTAGTGAACTGCTCAGAGTGCAGATGAGCAAAATGAGATGCCGAGAAGTTTGGCAGAACCGAGCCTGTGTTACTTTCTTCCGCGTTGGGTCGCAGTAGCTGCCGCCAGTCTTTGAGAGTTCCTGTTGGCAGTGCGCCTAAAACCGGCTCTCAAAACAATTCATCGCTGTATTTACCAAAATAATGCGATTATCACCTGACCAAAACGTACTGCAGTGCACTCAACGGTCCTTTGGTAAAGGGAATTAAGACTTTTTTGACCCGTATACACGAGCCGATGTTAGTAACGAAATAATGGCCAACACAACATAGTATCAATAATTGCAAAGAAGCAATACGATAATAGCAACAATGAGACTGACAATAAAAGCAGTGATTATGCTGATAATGATGTTAATAGTAGGATGAAAAGAAATTGCAAAAATAATACAATACCAACAACAGCGCAATGCCGATAAGAGTACATCAATTATTCCAGGAAAAAGACAAGATGATCAGCAACAGTGTAAAATGTCTGTTGACCAGGAGTGGTGGGCTGCACAGCTCAGTTACTATAAGCTAGTTGTTTCTGTACTATTGTTACTCAGTGCTACTAATGTATTGTTAGGATACTCATGACGATACTGTGCCATGTCATTTGCTTCGTAACTTAGCAAATTCTTCGCAATGCCAACAGGAACTCAGAGTGGAGAGGGCGCACCGGCACCCTAACTGGACTGGAAGCATTTATGACGGCTACGACGTGGCACTGCTCCAACTGCCCCGGGGAATCATTGCGCCGATGCCTCGAATGGCCAACGAAAGCACCGCCCTGCACCCAAACACGAAGGTCCACAGCCTGGTCTTTGAGCAAAGCCTCGAGGCGGGGCTCTTCGTCGTGGTCAATCCAGAGCTGTGCCCGAATATGGGGACCTTGAGCCCAGACATGTTCTGCATTTACTCATCCACGTCAGGGGTGCAGCCAGGTGCGTTTGGAAGCCGATAAGAGAGCTCATTGTGTGCAAATTTCTGTAGGCGCATTTTCAGTGTTTAATGGACGGAAATTGCGACTAACGTTAGTGATTTAAAGCTTGTACTGCCAGTGTTTAGGTGACAGGTCGAATCGCATGGCAATTGTGCGCAAAACTCATACTGATTCCAGACAAAGGAAGCAAGATATCAACGTTGTTGTATTTCGCAATCATCATTGCTAGATTTCACTCAGGGCAATATCGAAATGTTCTTCTTAGTGCTACTCAAACTATTAGTAATATTATGACCACTATTGCTACTACTGATAAAAATATTCAATTCTGTTACTATACCTGGTGCTGTTGGTGCCGTTATTGAAACATTCTCACGCTGGAAAACAAACAACATATTAGGCAGTGGGATGTGTAAAACAGACAGTGCTATTGCGACTTGCAGACAATGTGGGGCATAGAATCTTTAGTGCATCTCACCTCGTGAAGTGCCAGGGACATAGCATTGGGAGCTACGTAAATTGAATGCATTTTTGTGCATAATGCATTGTATGTATACATGTATTCTGCAAAATCATGCAAGCGACGCTTCTGGTAAGGATGACATTACCATATTACATTCGTCAGTGTAAAGAGTAGAAAACAACCACATGTTGCATCGGTCCCTGTCGAAATTCGCATTCACAATTTTTCTAGTGTCTAAACGGTGACAGCCCAGAAATCGTGCATCGATATTATGTAACGCTTCAAAATGAACCAAATCATGCAACCTCTATGGTGGTTTGAGCACGCTTTTCATTAGCGCACACCACTGCACACCGCTGATCGTGTTGCCTAATACTTTGGATAATTCTCCAGGTTCTTCGGGGGGGCCAGTCCTGATCCTCAATGGCGCGTTGAATTCGAACAGCGACGGCTTGGTAGACGAAAGCCAACAGCCCAGTAAAGACCTCCTTTTGGGCGTGGTCAGCTGCTCCAATTTCTCGTCGCTTGAAGAGAGTGGAATTGGATGCACTGCGGTCAGCGCCTTCCGTCCCTGGATCAATTCCATAGTATCTCCACAGGTAAGGTCACTGTGCTCTAAACGGACGAATGACCATAAGAAAGGCTTGACACCATGATAGACGCTCTGTCGATTGTTGGTGGCTGATCTGTGAATGCTAAAGGAAATTGATGTGCTGTGTTTTTTGACTTGAATACTGTATGTTTTTAATCACATATTACGAAGTATATATTTTTTTGTGTAGTGCATGTGCCGCCCAATGCACACACCGCTTCCTTCGGCGTGTTGGGAGTGACTTTCACATGAAGTGGCAAATACTAGCATTCAAAACGCGCCTGAGAACATGGAAACATTGGAAGCGGCAGTGTTCAGAATGTCCAATATGGGAGGCTGCGCTGGCTGCAGGTGTCGCCGAGTGCTTCTTCTGAACCACACATCACCGTTACTGCACAGGAACGCGCAATTGATTCAGCGTTCCTATAGGTTGCTTCCGTAATTTTGTTGAATGGATGGTGCCTTCTCTGTTTTTCCAGGACTGAAATGACTTGATTGCAGAATAGTCTCTGTCTGCTTGTTGTGGTATCAGTGCGCATCTGAGGGGTTTTTTTGTTCTAAACAGTACATTTCGAACTCTTTTCCGGCTCAATAATTTACAGTATTTGCATTGTCCACTGCTGCATGAAAGGTCGTTGCCGCTTTGCAGCTCAGCACACGTTCTCATGAAAATCTGCTTGAGGCTTCCGTTGTTGCGCTTCAGCTCTTGCCTCGAAATTTCAAGAGCGGCCGCCATTGTTTTGTTTCACAGGTGGATGCCATTGACGACCCAACAAACATTGCGGGGGTTGTGGTTTTCATCTTTTTTCTAATGGTGGGCTACCTCGACAATCCCAGTACATGTAATTGTCCACCTTATATTCACTAAAATGAGCGGATTCTTCTTATGAATGCACATGTTCAGGCTTGGTATTTGCGGCGCAAACACTCAGCGTTACGCTCGCTTACGTTTGAAACTGTTTTTTATGTTTTTGCGCATAAATGCACGTAAGTGTTCGTAGAATTTGACCCAATGTGCATGGAGACAGTACATCCAAACTCAAGGAGTCCGGGGAGTGGCAGCTAGACGCGCTGGAGTTGGAAGAGAACGATTTTGTTTGACGATATTTTGCCCTTACAGGGGCGAGATGGATGTTGTGTTGTAGGTGCTCGAGGGGGCGGCAGATTGACCATTGCAGGGGAATTTATCATGTAACATGGGTGTCCTAGCGAGCAACAAACATAGCCATAAAAATAGCCTCTTTGCATCTTTACGTTTTTGCACGGAAAAGTAAACCTAAGCGTAAACGCAGAGACCAAGCCTGTGCATGTTCAACAACATATTCGAGAATTCACAATTTGTGTTTTGGGCATCATGCAGGCTGCTGCATTCTTTGGACCACAGGAAGCCGCTTTTCCTTTTCAGGTAAACAGTCGCTTACAAAGTTTATTTGCAGGCTTGTGTAGCAGTTGCTTGTATTGTGAACTATTGTGTGCTTGGAGCAGTTGCTCGACAGTCAATCCACGCCTGACTGATGGTGAGCATCCAAATATGTGTTGCGCGTGGCACAAGGGGACTCAGTGATGTGTGGATATGTTGCAGACTGAGATGCATCTCGTTAAGAGAAACAGAGATCAAGTCACAGATCACAGTGAAAACTGTGCATTTGAAACGACAGCGCATGTGCGCTTCACAGCATGTCAAGAAATTCTTCTTGGAGCCGTTTCCCAGCAGCGTGCAGAATGTGCTTCTTTTGATCAATTTGATGTTGATGCTTGTCGACTGACATGCTGACTGGATGTGTTCTCCTTTGCAGGCTGTCGTTTTCTTTTGTATATATGCAATTATCCTCTGCAGTTGTATAGCTGTGATTTGGAGCCATTTTGGGGAGGTAAGTCAAAACGCTCAGGCGAATATTCTGGTCGCTAAAATTGCCCGATGCACTCCTATCAGACGCCTGTGCATGGACACAATACCTCCTTTGCACTATTGTGGATTTTCACAGGTGATAGCGTTGTCAGGACTGCACATCTGCGCCTGATTGAAGGATGCAGTTCGAGGCTCGTGACGCTTTTGTAGCTCAAATGTTCTTGTAGACTGCTGATGAAGGATTTGGCCTGAACAACGTGCCGCTGCAGACTGAGGTGACGTGTTGCCTGCTGACTCGCTGTCTGCTGTGCTGAAAGTGCATCCAGTAACCAAAGGCACCAATATAGAATCGAATATTCGTACATGTGCATTCGAATATTCTCGATCCAACTGTGCTCTCCATGAACATTCGTGAATTTGCACATTTGCATTCAAATGTTCCCCACCCGACTGTACTATATCTGAATTCATATGTTTCGAACATCTAATTTCGTATGGCCACAATGCAGGTTCGTGCTTCGGATGAATTATTTATTAGAATAATGGACGCCGCAAGCCCCTTGTACAGGCGCGCAGTGTCCTTGCTTCCACCGTATCTTCAAGTTGTGCATCTAACTTCGACGGGAGGCAATGGACACGAACAAAATTTTGACATGGTAAGCATATGGTTCTAGAAATCAGGCTTGGATTTTGCGTTTACGTTTACGTTCATATGTACGTTTTGGTAACGCGGGATTAGTGTTTACGTTTTTGCACATAAAAACGTGAACACACCAAAAGGGGTATTTCGATGTTGTATTTGCGCACTTCGGGGGCCCTCTGGGACACTTAGGTTACATGATGAAGTTGCACAGTATGATCGGTCCTCCTCCCCCTCGAGCACCCGCAAGAGAGCGTCCACCTCGCCCTCGGCCAGGGCAACGTGAGTTGGTCGTCCAGATTGGCCTTGACATGCTGCCCGCCACCATGTCGACGGTTTGATGCCGGCTGGCGTGTGGCACACGAGGAAGTAAAGGGCCACATAGCACATGTTCAAACGCGTACAAATGTTTATGGGTTTGGGTTATTTCCATCCTTTTACGTGCAGAACGAAATGACGTGAATTGACGAAATGCTTGACAGCATGGGCGAAGTCTCTGGCGCCGGAGCCGTTGATGCCAGCATCGTGCGCCTCCCCGCCATTGACACTAGTTGAACCAAAATAACATTCTGGGACCCCAGCTGACAAGGAATCACATTTACTGAGACGCCACTGGTGGGCTTCTTGCGACGAGGTAGCGCCCGAGTGGCGTTCCAGCAGTCTTCGTTTATAGTCAACTGACGTCCCAGAAATGGCCATCTCCACTTTTGTGATGACTGGGACGCAGTATACGCAGGCGGCTTGCAAGCCTTTCACATCCGTTCAGTGCTTGGCAGAGGGCCATGGCGGCGAAGGGAACAATTGATCACTGATTGGCCAGGCAGCCCAGGCTCTGCGTAAACTGGCGGTATTATACGTGCATTTACGCATCTTGTGCCTGTACACACGAAAAAATATTTGTAAATACAAAATTTGTAAATATTTTTAGATACATGTAAATAATTTTCCCAACAATAAAGTATTATTTGTGTTGACAGCATAAAAGCCAAGCCTGTTTATAATGGATGATCTAAATGGATGTGATTTTATGGATCAAACAAAATTAATTTTATGAATCAGCTTTTCCAGTGTGAATTGATATCAGATTAGCTGGAAGCAGGCGAACTAGAGCTGAATACTTGGGCGTCCTAAATTCGCTTCCGATGCTGCAGATGAAATGGACAAATTTTTGGGCTCTCCCTAATTCTGCTTTCTTCTTGTGAACAGGGTGGAATCGTCGCCATCGTGGCAGCCGGGGTCATTTCATCTTATTTAGTCCTAAATTTCATCAGCAAAGCAATGGGCATGGTGAGCGACCTTTCGTTGTTCCTGGGGCCGGGAACGTCATTTTATAGATCTCCTTTAAGCGATGCTTGTCGTTTTACAGCACGGCAACATGTTATGTAGATTGACTGTGACTCTTGGCATGTCAAATACAAATGCGGAAAAGTCAAGATTATGGATGTGTGCATTACCTGAATTCTTAACTTTAAGGCAATCAAAAGCTATCTCAGGCTACGAGATGCAACTTAATAAGATTGTTAGCATCGAAATGCAGTCCACTGTAGGCATCCAAGATGCAATACACCAAACTCTGTATTACAGCACAGCAGTCATTGTCAATTTGGAGCAGTTTATATTGGCCGCTATTTTGTGCACAGTAATTCTGCAGTGCAATTCATACTTTAATTTCTCAATAAATTTCCGTACCGGTTTGATGTGCAGAGGGGAAAGGCTGCCAGCATGGACCAGTTGCGCCAAATTGGCAATGTCCCAAATGTATGCAAACATTACGTCCACCGAGGCAAGGCCGAAGACGACATACAAGAGTGGTTGACAGACCAACCAGCAGACGACAGTCATCCAAGGGTGGCCATTGTAGGCATGGCAGGGATTGGAAAGACAGCGCTGGGCACATCAGTCATCAATAGCATCAAAGCCTTGGCTCATTTCTGGAGCGGTATCTTCTGGTTGCAATCCGGGGCACCTGGTCCGGATGCAGTTCTCGCCATCATTCGGGAGATTCACAGACGAATGACAGAAATGTTTGTTGATGGACCCTTCGTGGCAGACAGGGAGCAGGCCGGGTTGGGAGTTGATGACCTCGTCACAAGAATCAACAACAAGCTGCGAAGAAGATCGTGCCTCTTGGTTCTTGACGGGGTGCTGGATCCGAAGATGCTGGAAAGTGTATTGAAACTCAGATGTGCTCTGCTCGTTACTTCCCAGGTGAAGGGCATTTTTGACAACCACGTGCAATTCAAGCGCGTTGAAGTTTTACCTCTTGATTTTGTCAGCTCGCGAAAGCTGTTTCTGAACCTGGTGCCAGCCGCTGTCCAGCTCAAGGGAGTGGAGGAGCTACTGCAGTCATGTGGAGGACACCCCCTTGCGCTGTCCATCATGGGAACACTGTTCCAGGATGCAATGAGGGCAGAAGGGGCAGCCAGTGCGGCTGCTATTGATGATCTGATGGCAGAACTTCGGGATCCGTACTGCAGGTTGCAGATGCGCATCAAATCCGATGTCGTCTTGCACAGCGCTGACGTGGAGAGGCACTCAAATGTCAGCAGATGCTTCGATTTCGCACTGGACGCCCTGAGTTGGAACGAAAGGAAGGTCTACATGTCACTGGAAGCGCTGCCAATTGGGTTCCAGTCCACAATTGGTGAGTTGGGCACTGTGTGGAACTTGCAGGATGACCAGGCACTGCAAATGGCAGAAAAGCTTGAGCGCCATTTCCTCATTCAACGGGAGGTGTGCAGCGAGGGATCTAAGACTGTCCCAACACTGTGGGTCTTGCACTCACTTCAACACGACTACCTCAAAATGCTGAGGGTTTCAGCACCGCAAAATGTGCCACAGCAATAAAGGCTACAAATGGGAGACACGGCCCGTGGTCTGCTGATGTTGGTAGGGGCATCAGGCTGATCGCCTGCGTTGACAGGCAGGGGATCAGTAAGTGTGAGCGGGCGCAGATACAAGAAAAGTGGTTGGTGGTTAGCTGTTTGTGTGTCACTGATGAGGTGGGCGCATCAACAAGAATCTCTGTTTCAGCAGAGTTTGGCATTTGTTGGCTAATTGGAAGGTAAAAGTTTGTGATTGCTGCGTAGAGCCTGATCAAAGTTACTGTGGCTGCAACGGGGTTGGAAGATTGAGCATTCACTTGCTCTTTCATAGTAATCATGGCACGTTTTGTTATGGGTAAACAAGGAATTGGTGATTTTCGTTGGACATTGCCATAGCATGGAGGAAGCATAACATGGAAACAGGAGTTTATTTGCACAAGGCTGGCATAAATCAACCAGGGTAGATACCTGCACCAACTGGCAAGGTGCAGGAGATGCAATGACGAGAGGTTGCAGAGATATCCTGTAGAGATGAGGATATCATGGTATAGAGCACACAACGGCGGCGCAGAGACTCCAAATTTGGATTCTCCACTGGCAGTTTCTAGTTTGTTGCCATGAAGCCGAGTCCCGTACATAGTGTGCTTGGAAAAATTATTTTGCCATATACCTGAAGAGGATATGAGATGGCTTTCGCGACAACAGTGCAATAATGTGGGGAGAGCGCAGTGTCGGATAGCTTGAGAATTCGCTTGCATACTTCTACAAGAATAATCATCTTGGGAACTGCAATTTTGACCATAGCGCTAAGCTGACGAAGGGCAGGGGCGCGCTTTTATTGCAACGCGCTGTAATGCGCTGCAAGCTAATGCTTTTCTCTGGATGCAGAATAAACAATGATTTCGGTTTGTGATGGTCACGGGCTGCCGTTGGTTTGATGACAAATTGTTCATGGAGAATCCTGGCTTTTATGGCAACAGTACAAAAGATGCAGTTTCGTGGAGGGGTTTGTTTGTATGCACGTCTCCAGTTTGAGTGTGTCAATTTGGCCACAGTCTTCTGAAAGTTGATGGCGTAACTCATGAACTCGGAGATGTGGCAGATCGTCCCGGTCCAGAACCAACACGTGTGCGGCATCCACGAATAGTTCTTGAACACAAGAACTTGTTTGTCTTCAGAAAAAGGGGCATCTGTGTATTTATGGCTGTCTCTTTCCACGCAGTTTTCTACCCGAAGGCCGAAGGTGAATTCAATGTTAATGTTGGTGCAGTGTATGTTACAGCAATCTTAATGCCTATGTTAGACTAACATAAACAGTCAAACAGCGAATGATTCACTGAGTAAAATAATGTTAATTTTGTTTGAATTGTCAACGTAAATATGCTGCATGTGCGAATTTGATTCGTTCAGCTCGCCGCGGCAAGAGTCTCTGATCATGCGCCGTGCATTTAGTGCGGTCTAGGCAACGATTTTGGAGCTTTGGTGGCATTTGATGCAACACATAAGCGCACTTCCAACCGCTCAGCGTTAAATGGCTCGGCCACAGAGATTGCGCATCAACATTGTCGTAGCTTTAGAATTCGCATGAACGCTTGTCTATGTTGGTACATGAATACTGCGGCAACTTTCTCTGCATTAGACCAATGTTGTGGCGACACCTCGTTTAACAACACGTCCAGCTGTATACGGCTGCTGGGCTGTCTTGGGAAGCATGTCCTGCATGGACAGGCCGGTGTGCGGCTGACCCTCGCTGGGTCAGCCTTTTGACGGCCGCTCTGTACGGTCTCGCCTGCGCAGTAGTTTGCACCCTCGACAGAGGGCTGCAGAGCTAGAAAAGATACGGTGCCGCCGCTTGGCACTCTTATAACCCGAACGGCAAAATCATTAGCACAGATGAAAATTCATTGAAAGGGTGACCCCAAAGCGGGTTCAACCACAACAAATGGCAATGTATCAGCAGCGGTGTATCAAAATCTACCCAATCCCGGAATAAACATCAAGTAGCACGGTTTGCTTGGCTGAGGTTCTGTGCACTTTGGGCTTTTCTTGCCCTGTAGCTTCGGTCCAGTCGCTGGCTCACGGCCATTGTGCATATGCTCATGGCAGCACTTGCGCACTGCTGAGATCCGCCGCGCACCTTTGGGTACACATTTGATTGGCCATGAACATGCACCTGGCATGAAAAGACGACTCCTGTGTGCGTTCTGGCCAACTTCTTGTCGGCATTCGGAGTGCTCCCCTGTACGGCACCTATGCAGTACTGTATCATAATGCCGGGCTGCCGCACCTCGAACTGAAGAACCTTCTCATCATGCGAATAGAACGCCATTTCCGTAAATCACCATTTCTTCGTAGCCATTCGCCGGCGCTGGTGGCTGGACCGGTTTCAGGGCTGGGTGGCCCGCACCCCGCGTGAGGCGCTGGGGCCGTGGCTGAGGCCAAGAGGTCCACGCCCAGCGCATCGGTGGCGGTGGGAACTGTGACATCGTCGTGTGCAGATTCCGGGCGGGTCATGAACGTTGGTGACGCGGGAGGCCAACGGCAAGGTCCTATTCACGCCGCGGCAAACCCCCAGTAAACTTGCAGGCCTGGGGTGGAAGTTGCAGGCCGCGGCGGGTCGCGGATCGAGTGAATGTCGCGGAGGGGAACGGCAGGACCAGCAGCCGGATGACGCAGTGTCGGAAATGGGCGAGGCGCTTCCGTACTGCCGGCACCAGGTGCGTCCTCTAGTAGAGGACGCACCTGGTGCCGGCAGCCGACGAGACCGTGAGGATGACGCTGAAGCCCAGGCTTCGCGGCAGTTGGAAAATTATGGGCGAGATCTTGACCATCACCTAGAAGACGTGGAGGGAGGCCATGCATGAAATTCTGAAGGACGTGTTCAGCAGTTCGGAGTGTGTGGAGAGGGCGGCAAGAGCTATTCACGCGTTCTGCCGGACGCCTGTGCGTCTGGCTCAAAGCTGTCAGCCATGCACAAAGGAACAGGCAATTGATGGCGACTTGTTGAATCCGGACGTGAGGGCGAAAATGGCATTGCCCTTGGAGTTCCCAGAGAGGGAACTGAAAGAAACACTGCTGCTACGCAAAGAATGGTTTTCTGGGTCTTGTACTGAAAATATCTTATCGAACGTTTAATATCAGAAGAACTGGGAAGCGTACAGGCAAGATTGCGATTCTTCGCTTAAGACAAGAAAGTATGAAACCAGGACTTCGCCGGCTTTCTTTGCGGTGCTGATTTCTGCCGCTGGTTAAGACCTTGATGGAATGCGCATTGCGTCTGACGGCTGGTGTTGGGCGAACAGGCAGCATGGCTGTGAGACTGTCAGAGCTGTCATCGGCTTTACATTCGGCTGCTATTTGGGAGGGTAATATGAGAGTAAATTTGCAGAGAAACAAAGTGAGACATCCTAATGGGCAAGTTTTGTCACACCTTTGGCTTTTTCACAAGTTACATCAGTAGTAGGAGAGTAGACGGGGTGTTTGGTACATTCATTTGTCCTGTGCATCAACTTTTTTTTTGCTTGCGCTCACTGGTCTGCTATTGAGGACTGTGATGAAAATTGTGTTGGATCAGGAGGCCTGTGTCGGGCGAGCAGGCAGCATGGATGCAGGATTGTCAGAATTGCCTTCGGTTTCAATTCTCACTGGTAGCCTGAAGGGAATGATGAGAGCGATCTCTGAGAAAGCATATGCACCTGTTGCACAGCCGGTGTTTGAGGAGGCCCCTGTGGTCCTGTCATCATTGGTCAAAGTTTTGCACATGTGCAGCACATGTACATGCATCATTCCACGAGGTCTCGTGGGGACAAATCTTAACATTACTTGAGGACAATAGACTATGTTCGGAACCCTGATTTGCAGATTTTCAAAGCTGCAATGCCAAGATCTGCTTCACACTTCCAGACATTCCCATGGCTTCGAAGAATTTACTTCTCAGCATCAATCACCAGATCACAAGTAAACGTCCAAACACCACGTTTGCGAGCACATGTATATGCATTCCATCAGTAAGAACTTATTTGCCCGAGAATGAGAGAAAACCGTAGAGAAAGGAAAGGTCAATGTGCTCAGCAGAAATCACATTGAACCGCATGACATACGGTTACATTTAGCGGTCATGCAGCTGCTGAATGATCAAGGCAAACGTACGCACGCTTAGCTTCTCTCCAGTGCACACGAATTGATGCATTTACAGCTGAGATGTCCTCCATCTCGCTGTTTTGCAATGCCGCTCATCAGAACCGTCCAGAATGAGCAACAACGACGTCAATTGAAGAGCACTCTACGGGCAGCACGGACGGCTGTGACTGGGCTGTGAACTGGTCAAGGAAAAGGGCGAAAACTAGTCAGCTGGAGCCGCATGCTGACGGGATACAATACAGTTTGACGGTGATGGAATTTGGTGTACAGAATTGGGTTTAGTATGCGATTATGGTAGATTGTCCAGTACTATTAGCCGGGGAAAAAGAGGCACGGTGTGTGCAGGGCGTGTGGTGAGGGACCCTGAGTGAGAGGTTGGCCGGTTTGTAAGGGCCTTTTGAGTGACTTTCAGAGGGAAAAACGGCCAATTCCTGACCCGTTTTGGGGAGACCATGAACCGTAGGGGGTGTCCTTGAATGGACCAGAACTTTTGCAAAAGGTCCTAGGACCTTGATGGGACAGGTACTGGCAGGGTATAGGGGTCCAGTGAGGCGTGATGGGACGTTGGGTGCGGCTGCTAACAGTACTTTGTGGTTTTGCACCTGTACGGGAGACCGCCCTTTTGATATTTCGTGTAATGTACCGTATGTCGAACGTGACCGCGCCCCCCTGCATCTGGTCTGCGCGGGTTGCGCCTGCACCCCACCTATGCCCGCTGTGCCCAGTCTGCTCGGCGCGCCGCAACACCCCAGCCTCCCCGACCGTGCAGGGACCGTCGGAAGCCCTCCCTCGCCATGGCCGAAGCATCCCCACGTTCCGCAGGCGGGTCGAACGTGCTCGCATTCGGTGTGGGCGGACCCTCCGGTTCCGCCATGCTCCATG